AACATCTATTGCCAATCCTCCTCCTTTTTTTTTTTCCCCCCTCCCAAAGCCCCAGTAGATAGTTGTATGTCATAGTTGCACATCCTTCTAGTTGCCGTATGTGGGACATGGCCTCAGCATGGCCGGAGAAGTGGTGCATCGGTGCGCGCCCGGGATCCGAACCCGGGCCGCCAGTAGCGGAGCATGGGCACTTAACCGCTAAGCCACGGGGCCGGCCAGTCCTTTTTATTTCTGAATATCATTCCATTATACGGATATTTTGTCCCTTGCTCCTAAGTATTCTTATAAAACTTTTCTGGTTAAATTAGCCAGAGTTGGTTGGTTTCTGTGACTAAGCTAACAGCCTTTCCTAATTTTTAAATTTTATATATTGTTCATGTATAACTGACATGATTTAAGAGTGAAACAAACATACAGAGAGAAGAAGAGATGGGACATGATGCAGCCTCAGAGAGAGGAATTATGCATTTACATATGCACACAGGTAGATATATGTAACACATCTCCGTTACACCCCTATGTGTAACTTTTAAGTGTCTGCTTTGCATCTCCTTGGCACCTGGACTTCAGCTCCACTGTGGTGGACAGTTCTATGCAACGCAAACTCCTAGCTCAAGGATGCATGTGGTTTTCTATTTTCTCCATCTGGGTCTTGTTGGGCCCCAGCATGCGCATATGTTAATGCCCTCTGGATCAACCCTCAACCAGTGGAGGGCAGGAGCTGGTGGATAAATAACACTAGCAAACCAAATCCAACAGCACATTAAATTGATTGTACACCATGGCTAAGTGGGATTTATCCCAGGATATATTCGGGGATGGGAAGACTCAAATAGATATTTGTACACCCATGTTCATAGCAGCATTGTTTACAATAGCCAAAAGGTGGAAGCCACCCACATGTCTATCAATAGATGAATGGATACACAAAATGTGGTATATCCATACAATGGAATATTATTCAGCCACTAAAAGGAACAAAGAACTGATATAAGTTACGAGTTTGATGATTCTTGAAAACATTGTACTAAGTGAAAGAAGCCAGACATAAAAGATCACACGTTGCATGATTCCTTTTATATGATTTATCCGGAATCAGCAAATCCATAGAGACAGAAAACAGATTAGTGGTTACCAGGGGATGTGAGGTAGGGGGAAGTGCAGAGTCATTACTTAATGGGTACAGGGTGTTTTTCTGGGGTGATGACAAAGTTTCAAAACTAGACAGAGGTGGTGATTGCACAATGTTGTAAATATACTAAGTGCCACTGAATTGTACACTTTCAAATGGTTAGTTAGGGGCTGGCCCAGTGGCATAGTGGTTAACTTTTAATGCTCTGCTTTGGTGGCCAGGAGTTTGCGGGTTTGGATCCGGGCGTGGACCTATGCATTGCTTATCAAGCCATGCTGTGGTGGCGTCCCATATAAAGTAGAAGAAGATTGGTACAGACGTTAGCTCAGGGACAATCTTCCTCAAGCAAAAAAAGAGGAAGATTGGCAATAGATGTTAGCTCAGGGATAATCTTCCTTAGCAAAAACAAAAAAAAGTGGTTAGTTATATGTTATATAAGTTTCACCTCAATAAAAAATAAAAACCTCAGTCTATGGTGGAGCGGAAATGCAAACAGCCAGTACTCTTTTAATGATCTAATTTAGTAATAAACATGAAAGTTTAAATTTACTCACTAGGAGCCAACTGAAGGAGCTCCCAGTGCCCACCACTGGAATGATTTGAGCAACAAAATAAAATTGTATTGGATTATAACCCAAAGTATAAAGTAAGTATCCACAAGTCCATAGTGACATAAATAAGGGATTGAATAAATTAATAAATGGAGGAGAAGAGACAAAACTCTCATGCAGAAGAATTCCAAATAATTTATGTAGATACTGCAAGAAAGGGAACATAACTCCCCACCCTTTTAGAATGGGCTGTGCAGAGAGACTCCCTTCCAGAGAAAACATTATGAAAAAGGAAATGGGGATAGAGAAACCTGACCAATGCTACTTCAGCCAGTTGACCGAGGTCAACATCAATAGTCATACATCATGCTGATCAGAGATACCTTTGACGTAATACAATGAAAATGGCATTTTACTTCTGTGATATTCCTCCGCCAAACCCATAACCCATAATCCTAATCATGAGAAAACATCAGATGAATCCCAATAAAGGGTCATCCTACAATATTCCTGCCCAGGATTCCTCAAAACTGTCAAGGATATCAAAATCAAGAAGTCTGAGAAATTGTCACAGCCAAGAGGAGCCTAAGGAGACATGACAACTAAATGTAATGTGGTGTCCTGGATGAGACCTTGGAACAGGAAAAGGACATTAGGTGAGGGCTGGCCTGGTGGTGTAGTGGTTAAGTTTGTGCACTCCACTTTGGTGGCCCAGGGTTCGTGGGTTCGGATCCCAGGCGCAGACCTACATGCTGCTCATGAAGCCGTGCTGTGGTGGCGTCCCACATACAAAATGGGGGAAGATGGGCACAGATGTTAGCTCAGCAACAATCTTCCTCATCACAAAAAAAAAAAAAAAAGGACATTAGGTGAAAACAAAGGAAATCTAAATTGTGAACTTGAGGTAATAATAATGTATCATTATTGGTTTACTAATTAGAACAAATGTATTATACTAATGTAAGATGCTAATAACAGGGGAAACTGTGCAGGGGTATATGAGAACTCTCTGTACTATCTTCTCAATTTTTCTGTAAATCTAAAACTGGTATAAAAAATAAAATCTATTTAAAAAGTGTAGCCAGTCTTTGCTATTGAGGGACATCTGTACATGGTGGTGAGTGCATGGACTCTAGAGTCAGATTGCTTGGGTTCAAGTCCCAAGCTCTATCATTTACTATCTGTGGTTGGCAGCCTCCAAGATGGCCCTGGTGATCCTGCCTCCTGGGAGTCATGTCCTGTACACATGTCCTTGCCCACACTGCATAGTCCTGGCTCACGTGACCAATAGAGTGTTGCGGAAATGATGGTGTGTGATTTCCGAGGCTGGGTCATAAAAGGCACTGTGGCTTCCGCCTTGCTCTTTTTCTTGGATCACTTGCTCTGGGGAGAGCCAGCTGCCATCTTGTGAGCACACTCAAGCAGCATTGTGGAGCAGTCCACATGGCAAGGAACCGAGTCCTCCCACCAACAACCACTGCCAACTTCCCAGCCAGGTGAGTGAGTTACCTTGGAGGCTGCTCCAGCCACAGCTGAGCCTTCAGATGATGGCAGCCCCAGCTGACATCCTGATTGTAGCCTCGTGAGAGACCCCCGAGCCAAAACTACGCAGCTAAGCTGCTCACTGTGGATTCCTAACCCACAGAAACTGTGAACGATAATAAATATTTATTGCTTTAAGTCTCTAAGTTTTGGAGTAATTTATTTCACAGCAATAGATAACTAACGCACTAACTCAGAGGTCAGCACATTTTTTTTTTCCCATAAAGGACCAGATAATAAATATTTTAGGCTTTGTGGGTCACACATAGTCTCTGTTACACATTCTTTGTCTTTTATTTTTTAACCATTTAAAAATGTAAAAAACATTTTTAGCTCAAAACAAAAACACAAAACAGATCATGAGCCTGCCTTCCTCCTTCCCTCCTTCTCTCCTTCCCTCCCTCCCTTCCTTCCTTCCCTCATCTCTCTCCTCCTTTCTCTTTATCTCTTCCCTTTTATCCATCCTCCCTTCCTTCTCTCTTATTATTTTTCACTCTTTCATTTATTCAATCATTTATTCAGCAAAATGAGTACCTACTATGTGCTAGGCCCTGACTGAGCTGCTGCAATTGTATTTGTGACTAAGACAGACAGCCTCCCTGCTCTCCCAGGGCTCCCAGGCCAGCAGGGGTGACAGACAGCAAAGATGTCAGTTAAGAGTCTGGTATGTCCTTAAGCCCTGTGACATTTACTCTGAAGGAAACAAGCAGGTTGCGGGCAGAGAGAACTCCAGAGGAAGGGTCCAATTTCATCTAGCCAGGGTGGCTGGAGAAGGGCTCTCTGAGTGGAGACTTGAAGGATGAGGAGAAAGCAGCCGTAGGAAAAGTGTTCTGGGCAGAGGGAACAGCTTATGCAAAGGCACAGAGGCAAGAAAGAGCTTGGAGTTTCTGGGGACCATCGAGGAAGCCAGTGTGGCTGGAGTGGACTGAGTGAGGTGGAGAGTGGGGAGACATGGGGTCAGGGAGGTGACAGGGCCACAGTATAGGGCCTTGAGGGTTGCGCTGTCAGAGCAATGGGAGCCTGGGTGGGTTGTAAGCAGGGGTTGCCGTGACCTGATTTTCTTCTCTGACTGTCGCGTGGATTCTAGCGACTTCACTCCCCCACCACGGCTTCTTGTCTGGCTCATTGACAAGTGCTGGGCGCTCAGGACCCTCTGAGGGAAGTCCCGTTAGAGATGAGGAAACCAAAGCACAGAGAGGGGAGTAACCAGGCTAAGGCCACACAGCCAGGAAGAGGTGCAGGCAAAGTTTGAACTCAGGCGCCTGCTGCCATGCTACCTGTGGCCCCACAGCTCTAGTCTCCTCCTCAGGTTTCCTGCCGTCAACTCAGTCTCTGCCCATCAGCTGGCTGGGCCTTCTACCTCAGCGCTGGTCAATTCCCCTCCTGCTCAAACACCTTCCACGGCTCCCCACTGCCCTTGATAATGACCAAGCCCATTAGCCTCGTATTCAAAGCACTGTAGGAAGTCAGTCCCCCCGGCAGCCCCCCCAGCCCCATCTTTCTCTTTTTCCCTCTCATCTTCAGTCCCTCTTTACATCCTGAGCTCAAGCCATCCTGGATGCCTTGCAGTCCAGGGCAAGCAGGGGGTCCCTGAACCCACATGGGCTGCTGCCCTGGCTTGGTGGGTCCTCTGCTCCCACCCCAG